AATGTATCGAAATTTACGAATGATTGCTAATCGCTCGCAAACCGGCATCGATCCGTGGACGCAATATCTTTGTTAACAAAGCACAACTTTAAGAGAATCTAAAGCTTATAATAAATAATGAAGGCAATGTTGCGTTGTTTAAAAACGCTAATATTTTTAGAAAATCGCAAAATCCCGAAAGCGTCAAAAAGGTTGCAATTTATTAAACTTCATTTTTAAATTTTCGAACCCTCTACCCGCGGAAAAAACTGAGCGAATATGAAAGCACAAATAGAATAGCAGTTAATAATGATGTTTTAGGGAATTTTACATTTAAATATCCTTTACGAAGTAGTGTAATTCCAGGCATGGCGCCTTGCCAACAGCCTACATTCTGAGTATAGATTCCAAAACAGTTTCCCGAGGAATCATGGTATCCTTTAGTCTCTTGAATTAATTTAGATGCGGCTCAACAAGAAAGGCAAGATTTCGCCCGATTTCGCCCGATGTCGCCGACAGAGACATCATAGAACAAAAGTTGTCATAAGGTCACGTTTTGCCGTTCCGATTAGTGTCAAATAATTTTAAATAGGATTGGCATGTGTAATCGAAAGCATACCATTTTGTGTTTATAAAGAGAACTTTTCTTCCGTTGAATATTTGTACTTTTAGTTCGTTCAGAATTACATTGAGTTTCAGATGGGCCTTGAAGTACCGATGAATATTTCACGATTTTCAGTGTTTTCATCCGATCGCCCATAAGGACAGATTATGTATCATGCCTCTGTTAAAAACTTTAAAATATGGTATTTCTTTGAGGCATTTATCGAAGTAGCAAGTATTTGGACTTTCTTTTTCATTTAGAACGTCATCTGGGTCATATTTGAAGACTCACGCAAACAGAAACCCTCATCCTCAGATAAAACTGACGTCCACAACGAAAGTCAACAACGACTATGCCTTAAATTAATCAGAAACCATTCTCTAATAAATTACCTCTTTGAGGAGTGCTTTGATACTGCATTCCGTTGACGGATGTCTGAGTACGTCAATTTTTACAGACTCAGGCGAATAAAAACTTTTACACTTCCGGTCGTTTCTTTCACATTGCCAAAAGATACTGAAATTTTTTGACCGCAAACGAAAGAATACGCCTTCTTCCTTATATTGCGGCCATTTGAATTGTTTTCGATCAAATGTAGACTCAGTTCTACAATTATAAATTCCTGGCGCACTGGCTATATATACATTGATATTTTGTTGAAGATGTTAACGATTTGCTCATCCATTTTCGAATTAGGTATGTGCAGAAGTTTGACTACACAAAATGTAATATTAATATGTTCAAAGCTGAAAATGAAAGTTCGGCGGTGGCCGTTCCTGTGACAACATGTAGGATTTTCCAAACGGCAAAACAATTTTAGTCTATTTAAATGAAGTATTGCGTGTGTGCGTTATAAATAAACTTTAGGGCACAAAATAGCACAGATCTGCTCAACTGAGTTCTATCCATCGACAAAATATCCGGTTCTCTTAAAATAACCTTTATTTTAGGAGATTGATAACCACAGTTACCATCGAACAAAAAATAATTTTCCAACTCCGGCAACCTTTGTGTATTAAAACTCCCCGGAGGACGTTATCCTCCTTTCAAGAAAAACTCCACTCAGATGGTCAACTGAAGTCCATAACAGGTATCAGCGTAGGAAAATACACATATACTGCGACGCCCATTTTTGACCAAACTTATGAACATTTGGCTTGAAAAAATTACGTAGACAAAATTTCTGGTCAAGACGAGGACATTTCCTATAGGTAGCAGGGCGAGAAAGCAAAATGTGCAACGTTTAAAACATTCTAAATTCCCACATAATATTCTGTCACCAGGCTTCATCAGACAGGTCACGTACTGTATATATTAATGAAACTTGATTAGTCTAAGTGAATTTTGTTTGTTCAATGTGGGCATATCCAGCCAACCCACATTTTCTACTCGAACAACTTTGGTTTCAGTATTGACAGACTTTATTTGGCAGACCTGATAGCATATTTGGTGGAAAAGGTGAAGTTGGCTTTGCCACCTTTCAGGACTGCGACAACAACGCATTGTTGCAGTCAAGACCCACTGATTGACATGCCGTCGAAAACATGTGTCGTGGAGGATATCTGAAGTTATTCCAAAAACAAGTAGACGGAAACGCCCACATATTGAATATTTTATTTCTTTTAGCTCAACATATTCCACTTGCGTCGTCGCGCTGATTCTATATACTATTAGACTGCTGAATTTCTAACCCACAGAACGACAGTTAGTCCTGCAGGGTTTGCAAATAGGCACTTGGCCATTTTTGGCTGATTTTGTCTTACAAGTCTTAGATGGTGCTTTCCGTATCCCATGCTTCCGTTGGTTATCTTACCATGAATATATAGGAGGAGAGAGAGAGGAAAATATGCACAGTATGGGACAGAGAGAAGGAGGAACAGGGGGAGAAATGAAGTTATTTTGGAGCAAAAAGTGAAATTGCTTTATGAAGTTTCAGGACTGCCGAAAATGCCCGGCAACCTCAACGTCACACAGACAGTCGATTTCGATTAAGTCCATCGTGTGCTCCAGAACGGGTGAGAGTAAAGACGGTGACTGGTCCGAGATTTATTTATAGTGATAGTAGACTTGGACTGCATTTACCACATTCTTCCACACGGGAATCCACTTTCAAGGTAGGGTGAGAGGACCGGAATCAGGAGAGGGCGCAGGACGCTAGCTCGGCGCAAATCCGCACCTTGGCGTACCACTACACCCCCCGACCCACCAGATACGCCAACCGAGATTTTACGCAACAAGAGGAAAGAGGGGGCGTTGGGATTCCATTTCATGGACATTTTCTTGAGGCCCAATCAAGAAGGGGGCGTTGCACCCATCATTTTCGCGTCGGAATGCGTTTACTTCGCATGTCAATTTTAAGAGTCTTGGGAATCACGCAAGTGTTTCGGAAATTCCCTCCTATAGGGGAGAATGAATAGTAGTTATCAGACTGTCGAGATGAACGGCGATATATCAAAAGACAACAGAATGTAAACTTCAGAGCAAAACCAATATCACAATTATTTGGAATTCCATTCATCTAGCACATTCTCTTGATTCAATAAGCCCTTCGTAATCTGACACATGAAAGCAGCATATGTTTAAGATTTTCCTTTGATTATTTTGGGCCGTTGAAACAATCAAACGGACCAGAATTAAAATTATAATCGAGAAATTTCATCAGTTCATGCACACGCTATGTGCTTTGATATGACTTCAAGGTAAAACAAGTCTCGATGAATGAATGACGATGGCCTGCAATATTGTTTCATATCTTATTGTAGATTGTAATCTCGGACGGTGTATGCTTGCAAGAAACCTAAGATTTATTCCCAACCGAACTGCCCAAAAATGCAATAAATGCTTACACCCCGTTTTTGCAACGTTCTTTACGCTCGTTTACGAAGTGCAGGCATTTCGTGTCCAATTCGACAGAATTAGAAAAAGTCCCGAAACTTACTTTATCGAGTAAAATATCTTGAGACAACTGGCAATATAAATCAAGGTCATGTTCTTGGATCCTGCCAACAAAGCTTCCTTACAATTAATGCTATCTACCAATGGCACCCTAGTGGAGTCACTGCAAACCCACATCTGTTGTCCTTCTGATGTAAACTCGTCTATTCAAATTTCGAGATCCACAAACAGGCATCTTGCCTAGAACCAAAACTTCTATGACCTTCAGGGAGAAAAACGAATCTGTTAAAGTACTATAGAGCATTCATCTGCAGATTCGAAATTAACGTTTTCTGAAACCGCCCAAGACTCACATTCATGGCGTTTGAGACTGATTTTCTTCCGCTGATTTATAGGTTCCTGGCGCAAAATGTTTAAGACTGCTAAACGTATATGCGGACTGAGAGACTGAGGGCGGCAGAGACCACAGCCATCATAGGAAATGTTTTTAAGCAGTACTGATTGGGTGAACTTCTGACATGTTTACTAAAAAAGGAGAAAGTACTGAGTCAGAATGCACACCGAAAATCCGAATGCAGTGCATGTAAAGAAAAATAGGAAATAAATCAGTATAATTGTTAGGTTAACAACGCAACCAGCCCTGCAATCCGAAAGTAGTATATTTACCAATACCCTACTATCTATAAACGCCCTTCGGAACATGACTCTTGAGTACCATATAATTTGACATTGAAAATAACTTTTTCAACACTAAGACCAGTTCCATCAATAGTACATGTGACAACTCATAAAAAGCCACGAAATCCTTACAACGCAAAATTCGCCCACGTCGCGTTCCCATAAAGTCTACCATCCGCACAAAACGCCATCTTTTGGGAAATTATAGCACAAGTGTCCTTCGTGATTTATAATCTCACATTTATTTTTCACTTAATCCATGTGTGAGGTGGTCGCATACTTGGTGTAGATATATATAACCCATCTGGTAGACCCCAGTGGTGGACCAGCTGCGCTAGGTTCGTCTGAGCGCATGTTTATGTTTCCGGTACCAGCTGGTTGTCAGGGTTATGATTGGCTGAATAAAGGCAAACAAGCCCGAAACAGTGCTGTATCAATCTACCCCCAGTCTCTGTCGTATCCACTATGCTATCATAGCTTGGACGACTTCGGCCTGGTAGGTGGTTGCCTTTTCGTGACCCCTATCGCCCACACGAAGCTTGTTTGCTTCGGGAAGCCAATGGATCGGTCTGCGCCCATTCTTGAGTGAATATATATATATGTATAATGAAAAAGGAAGAGGTTCTTCGGAAAAAATCGAGTTGTACTCGTGGATTTTCGAATTGGTGACACCAACCCGTCGTCAGACGAAATGAAGAGAAAAGAGAGAGTGAGGCAGTCACACTAGGCTAATATACGAGACTGGGCAAACATTGGCGGACGAACCATTAGCGTGTGAGGCGGGATGCGGGTAGGGAGTCATGCTGGGTTCTGAGCCGGGAGGGTAGGAAGGGGGGGGGAACCGTTACGGCTCCCGTGTTGGAGGGGCGGGAGAATGGTAGGTTGGCAGAACTGCGGGCGCCTGGATTAGCGGCTGCTGATGCGGCGTGGGGCTCGGCTTAGTGAGGCGTGATCTTAGGCCCTCATAATGGACGTCTAGGTCAACATGGCGGTTGATGCTATCCGCTTTAGAGTGCCATGCCTCTAGGAATTCTCTCGCTCGTTTTGTGTTGGCCGTGGCGATGACCTCGGTGTTATCCCAATTAAAACGGTGGTCGCACTGGAGTGCGTGTGCAAAGACGAGGGATAGTGGATCACGGCGACGGACAGCTAGTTTGTGTTCATTAATACGAGTTCCCAAGCGTCGTCCTGTATGACCAACATGTACGCAGGGACAATTGGCACACGGGATGCGATAAATGACGTTAGTCTGTTCCTCTTTGGGGATAGAATCCTTTACTCGAGTTAAGACTGTGCGCAGCGAGGATGCAGGCTTGTGGGAAACGCGAATACCGAACTGACTTAACTGACGGGCGATCATTTCTGAGGTCCCCTGCCTATAGGGCAGGGAGAAGAATTTCCGCGTCACGGTTTCTCCATCTGAGGAGGGGTCTCGAGGTTGTGCCTGACGTCGGAGGCAGTTCTTCACGAAACTGACTGGGTATCCGTTAGATCGAAATAGCCGATATAGAAAGCCTAGTTCTTTCTTCAGCAGATCTTCATTGTTGCAATACCGGTAGGCCCGGTGGAAGAGGGTTCGGACGCAGCTTCTTTTGTGAGCCGCAGGGTGATTGCTTCCATAATTGAGGATGATCTCAGAATCAGACCCTTTTCTATGGACGCTGGTTGCGAGGTTACCGTCATCCAGCCTTTGTATTTTCACGTCCAGAAACGACAGACTGTCTCCTACTGCCTCTTCGCGGGTAAATTGTATGGCCGGAAAGACTTCATTCAGCCTCTGATGTAGCCTTTCGACGTCGCGGTTCTTTATTACGACAAAGGTGTCGTCTACATAGCGGAGCCACATTTTGGGGTTGAGGGTTTGAAAAACCTCATGTTCTAGTCGCTGTAGCACTAGTTCGGCGAGTAGACCGGATATTGGGGAGCCCATTGGACTTCCCTTCACCTGTTGGTAGTACTTATTGTCGAACTTACAATAGTTCTTAAGGCACAGTTGGAGCAGTTCTATAACGTGGTGCGCTGGGATACCAACAGGATTGTCCTGTAGCCGTTGGGCTACGCAGTCAATTGCCAAGTCGTGCGGTATAGAAGAAAATAAGGCAACGACGTCAAAAGACAAGAAGCATTCATCAGTGCTTACATTGAGGGCGTCAATCCCGGCTCAGAACCCAGCATGACTCCATATCCGCATCCCGCCTCTCACGCTTATGGTTCGTCCGCCAATGTTTGTCCAGTCTCGTCTATTAGCCTAGTGTGACTGTCTCACTCTCTCTTTTCTCTTCATTTCGTCTGACGACGGGTTGGTGTCACCAATTCGAAAATTCACGAGTACAACTCGATTTTTTCCGAAGAATCTCTTCCTTTTTAATTATATCGTCTCGGAATGCCAACCACTTCTACTCTATATATATATATATATATATATATATATTGATGAAACGTGACTAGTGGAGTGCATCTTGTTGGTTCACCGAGACTAACTTATTGGTAGGTATTGTGGGTATATCAAGCCAACCCACATATTTTACTCGAACAGATTTGGTTTCACTACTGAACGGCTTTATGTGGTAGACCTGATAGCATATTTGGTGGAAAAGGTGAAATTAGCGTTACGAAGTTTCAGGACTGCGGCAACAACACATGGTGCCGGTCAAGACACACTGATTGACATGACGTCGAAAACAGGTGCCGTGACCGATATCTAAAGCTAGTCCAAACAAAGAGTATATGGAAACGCCCACATATTGAATATTTTATTTCTTTTAGCTCAAAATATTCCACTTGCGTCGTCGCGCTGATTCGATATACTATTAGACTGCTGAATTTCTAACCCAACAGAACGACAGTTAGTCCTGCAGGGTTTGCAAATATGCACTTGGCGATTTTTGGCTGATTTTGGCTTACAAGTCTTAGATGGTGCTTTCCGTATCCCATGCTTCCATTGGTTATCTTACCATGAATATATAGGAGGAGAGAGAGGAATAGATGCACAGTATGTTACAGAGAGAAGAGGGAACAGGGGAAGAAATGAAGTTATTTTGGAGCAAAAAGTGAAATTGCGTTGTGAAGTTTCAGGACTGCCCAAAATGCCCGGCAACCTCAACGTCACACAGACAGTCGATTTCGATTAAGCCCATCGTGTGCTCCAGAACGGGTGAGAGTAAAGACGGTGACTGGTCCGAGATTTATTTATAGTGATAGGAGACTTGGACTGCATTTACCACATTCTTCCACACGGGAATCCACTTTCAAGGTAGGGTGAGAGGACCGGAATCAGGAGAGGGCGCAGGACGCTAGCTCGGCGCAAATCAGCACCTTGGCGTACCCCTACATCCCCTGACCCACCAGATACGCCAACCGAGATTTTACGCAACAAGAGGAAAGAGGGGGCGTTGGGATTCCATTTCATGGACATTTTCTTGAGGGCCAATCAAGAAGGGGGCGTTGCACCCATCATTTTCGCGTCGGAATGCGTTTACTTTGCATGTCAATGTTAAGAGTCTCGGGAATCACGCAAGTGTTTCGGAAATTCCCTCCTATAGGCAAGAATGCATAGTAGTTATCAAACTGTCGAGATGAACGGCGATATATCAAAAGACAACAGAATGTAAACTTCAGAGCAAAACCAATATCCCAATTATTTGGAATTCCATTCATCTAGCACATTCTCTTGATTCAATAAGCCCTTCGTAATCTGACACATGAAAGCAGCATATGTTTTAGGTTTTCCTTTGATTATTTTGGGCCGTTGAAACAATCAAACGGACCAGAATTAAAATTATAATCGAGAAATTTCATCAGTTCATGCACACGCTATGTGCTTTGATATGACTTCAAGGTAAAACAAGTCTCGATGAATGAATGACGATGGCCTGCAATATTGTTTCATATCTTAATGCAGATTGTAATCTCGGACGGTGCATGCTTGCAAGAAACCTGAGATTTATTTCGAACCGTTAAGGTGCATGTCTGTATTTGCTAAACTATATCGAGCAACTATATATGCAAGTCTCTCCGGGAAAGCGTGTTTAATTACACTCTGCATGGGGTTGGGTGTGATGGATAACATTTTATATGAGTCACATGCCCGGCGTGAAAGGACACCCTCAAACATTTAAAATTCTATCCCTTTTGAGCCTAGTTGGCACACCGTTCATTGCAACAATTGATTTTACTATTCATTGCTTAAGTCGTGAAATGCTACGCCAGTGTGACCAGGAAAGACACTTGACACATTTAAATTATTCACTCCTCTATGTCTGAAACATCGAATAGTTTTATAATCGATTATTTCGACTTATTTCTACGTGACAGGCTGCCCCCAAAATAACCAAGATTACGATTGAGCATATGCCAACCATCTTTGTTGGCAGGATCCAAGAACATGACCTTGATTTATATTGCCAGTTGTCTCAAGATATTTTACTCGATAAAGTAAGTTTCGGGAGCTTTTCTAATTCTGTCGAATTGGACACGTAATGCCTGCACTTCGTAAACGAGCTTAAAGAACGTTGCAAAAACGGGGTGTAAGCATTTATTGCATTTTTGGGCAGTTCGGTTGGGAATAAATCTTAGGTTTCTTGCAATCATACACCGTCCGAGATTACAATCTACATTAGGATATGAAACAATATTGCAGGCCATCGTCATTCATTCATCGAGACTTGTTTTACCTTGAAGTCATATCAAAGCACATAGCGTGTGCATGAACTGATGAAATTTCTCGATTATAATTTTAATTCCGGTCCGTTTGATCGTTTCAACGGCCCAAAATAATCAAAGGAAAACCTTAAACATATGCTGCTTTCATGTGTCAGATTACGAAGGGCTTATTGAATCAAGAGAATGTGCTAGATGAATGGAATTCCAAATAATTGGGATATTGGTTTTGCTCTGAAGTTTACATTCTGTTGTCTTTTGATATATCACCGTTCATCTCGACAGTCTGATAACTACTATTCATTCTTGCCTATAGGATGGAATTTCCGAAACACTTGTTTGATTCCCAAGACTCTTAAAATTGACATGCGAAGTAAACGCATTCCGACGCGAAAATGATGGGTGCAACGCCCCCTTCTTGATTGGGCCTCAAGAAAATGTCCATGAAATGGAATCCCAACGCCCCCTCTTTCCTCTTGTTGCGTAAAATCTCGGTTGGCGTATCTGGTGGGTCAGGGGGTGTAGTGGTACGCCAAGGTGCTGATTTGCGCCGAGCTAGCGTCCTGCGCCCTCTCCTGATTCCGGTCCTCTCACCCTACCTTGAAAGTGGATTCCCGTGTGGAATAATGTGGTAAATGCAGTCCAAGTCTACTATCACTATAAATAAATCTCGGGCCAGTCACCGTCTTTACTCTCACCCGTTCTGGAGCACACGATGGACTTAATCGAAATCGACTGTCTGTGTGACGTTGTGGTTGCCGGGCATTTTGGGCAGTCCTGAAACTTCATAAAGCAATTTCACTTTTTGCTCCAAAATAACTTCATTTCTTCCCCTGTTCCTCCTTCTCTCTGTCCCATACTGTGCATATTTTCCTCTCTCTCTCCTCCTATATATTCATGGTAAGATAACCAACGGAAGCATGGGATGCGGAAAGCACCATCTAAGACTTGTAAGCCAAAATCAGCCAAAAATCGCCAAGTGCATATTTGCAAACCCTGCAGGACTAACTGTCGTTCTGTGGGTTAGAAATTCAGCAGTCTAATAGTATATAGAATCAGCGCGACGACGCAAGTGGAATATTTTGAGCTAAAAGAAATAAAATATTCAATATGTGGGCGTTTACATATACTCATTGTTTGGAATAGCTTTAGATATCGGTCACGGCACCTGTTTTCGACGTCATGTCAATCAGTGGGTCTTGACTGCAACAATGCGTTGTTGTCGCAGTCCTGAAAGGTGGCAAAGTCAACTTCACCTTTTCCACCAAATATGCTATCAGGTCTGCCAAATAAAGTCTGTCAATACTGAAACCAAAGTTTTTCGAGTAGAAAATGTGGGTTGGCTGGATATGCCCACATTGTACAAACAAAATTCACTTACACTAATCCAGTTTCATTAATATATACAGTACGTGACCTGTCTGATGAAGCCTGGTGACAGAATATTATGTGGGAATTTAGAATGTTTTAAACGTTGCACATTTTGCTTTCTCGCCCTGCTACCTATAGGAAATGTCCTCGTCTTGAGCAGAAATTTTGTTTACGTAATTTTTCAAGCAAAATGTTCATAAATTTGGTCGAAAATGGACGTCGTAGTATATGTGTATTTTCCTACGCTGATACCTGTTATGGACTTTAGTTGACCATCTGAGTGGATTTTTCCTTGAAAGGAAGATAACGTCCTCCGGGGAGTTTTAATACACAAAGGTTGCCGGAGTTGGAAAATAATTTTTTGTTCGATGGTAACTGTGGTTATCAATCTCTTAAAACAAGGCTATTTTAAGAGAACCGGATGTTTTGTCAATGGATAGAACTCAGTTGAGCAGATCTGTGCGGTTTTGTGCCCTAAAGTTTATTTATAACGCACACACGCAATACTTCATTTAAATAGACAAAAATTGTTTTGCCGTTTGGAAAATCCTGCATGTTGTCACAGGAACGGCCACCGCCAAACTTTCATTTTCAGCTTTGCACATATAAATATTACATTTTGTGTAGTCAAACTTCTGTACATACCTAATTCTGAAATGGATGAGCAAATCGTTAACATCTTCAACAAAATATCAATGTATATATAGTCAGTGTGCCAGGCATTTATAATTGTAGAACTGAGTCTACAGTTGAGCAAAAACAATTCCAATGGCCGCAATATAAGGAAGAAGGCGTATTCTTTCGTTTGCGGTCAAAAAATTTCAATATCTTTTGGCAAATTGAAAGAAACGACCGGAAGTGTAAATGTTTTTATTCGCCTGAGTCTGTAAAAATTGACGTACTCAGACATCCGTCAACGGAATGCAGTATCAAAGCACTCCTCATAGAGGTAATGTATTAGAGAATGGTTTCTGATTAATTTAAGGCATATTCGTTGTTGACTTTCGTTGTGAACGTCAGTTTTATCTGAGGATGAGGGTTTCTGTTTGCGTGAGTCTTCAAATATGACCCAGATGGCGTTCTAAATGAAAACGAAAGTCCAAATACTTGCTACTTCGATAAATGCCTCAAAGAAGTACCATATTTTAAAGTTTTTAACAGAGGCATGATACGTAATCTGTCCTTATGGGCGATCGGATGAAAACACTGAAAATCGTGAAATATTCATCGATAATTCAAGGTCCATCTGAAACTCAACGTACTTCTGATCGCACGAAAGGTACAAATATTCAACGGAAGAAAAGTTCTCTTTATAAACACAAAATGGTATGCCTTCGATTGCACATGCCAATCCTATTTAAAATTATTTGACACTAATCGGAACGGCAAAACGTGACCTTGTGTAAACTTTTGTTCTATGATGTCTCTGTCGGCGACATCGGGCGAAATCGGGCGAAATCTTGCCTTTCTTGTTGAGCCGCATCTAAATTAATTCAAGAGACTAAAGGATACCATGATTCCTCGGGAAACTGTTTTGGAATCTATACTCAGAATGTAGGCTGTTGGCAAGGCGCCAAGCCTGGAATTACACTACTTCGTAAAGGATATTTAAATGTAAAATTCCCTAAAACATCATTATTGACTGCTATTCTATTTGTGCTTTCATATTCGCTCAGTTTTTTCCAAGCGTAGGGGGTTAGGAAATTTAAAAATGAAGTTTACTAAATTGCAACCTTTTTGACGCTTTCGGGATTTTGCGATTTTCTAAAAATATTGGCGTTTTTAAACAACGCAACATTGCCTTCATTATTTATTATAAGCTTTAGATTCTCTTAGAGTTGTGCTTTGTTAACAAAAATATCGCTTCCACGCATCGATGTCGGTTTGCGAGCGATTAGCAATCATTCGTAAATTTCGATACATTACATGAGTTAGGTCACCTACTGCATATATATCTACATCAAGTTTGCGAGCACCCCCTCACAGTTAGAGTTAGTGAACATTTACGTTTCCAATGAGATTATAAACCACGAACGACATGTGTGCCATAATTTCCCAAAAGATGGCCTTTTGTGTGGATGGTAGACTTTATGGGAACGCGACGTGGGTAGAGTTTGCGTTGTAGGGAGTCCGTGGCTTTTTATGAGTTGTCACATATACCATTTATGGAACCGGTCTTGGGGTTAAAAATGTTCGTTTGAATGTCGAATTATAGGGTACCTAAGAGTCCTGTTCCGATGGGCGTTTATAGATAACGGTGTATTGGTGAATATACTACTTCCGGATTGCAGGGCTGGTTGCATTGTTAGACTAACACTTATACTGATTTATCTCCGACTTTTCCACACATACACTGCATTCGGATTTGTGGTGTGCATTCTGACTCATTACTTTCTCCTTTTTTAGTAAACATGTCAGAAGTTCACCCAATCAGTACTGCTTACAAACATTTCCTATGATGACTGTGGTCTCTGCCGCCCTCAGTCTCTCAGTCCGCATATACGTTTAGCAGTCTTACACATTTTGCGCCATGAACCTATAGATCATTAGGAGAAAATCAGTCTCAAACGCCATGAATGTGAGTCTTGGGCGGTTTCAGAAAACGTTAATTTCGAATCTGCAGATGAATGCTCTATAGTACTTTAACAGATTCGTTTTTCTCCCTGAAGGTCATAGAAGTTTTGGTTCTAGGCAAGATGCCTGTTTGTGGATCTCGAAAGTTGAATAGACGAGTTTACATCAGAAGGACAACAGATGTGGGTTTGCAGTGATTCCACCAGGGTGCCATTGGTAGATAGCATTAATTGTAAGGAAGCTGAAAAGTCAGGTGAAGAAGAACGTATTCAGGCAGGTCTAATTGCTGTGAGAAGTTTACAGTCACGTAATATCAGCATACTTATGTTAAATGGCTTCCAGTCTGCTGGTTGTGAACATGGCACGTGACTCTGCGTTGGATGTAGCGTCTTCAGGAAATGCAAAGTACACACATTGCAGTCTGCCAAATGACGGAATTAAAGTTTAAAGCAATGTAACCCCCTTCAGTGACGGCAAAATATATTTCCTTTAGGTAAGCTGACAGCATGTCAACGCTATCGCCTACATGTTCGGCGTCCCAGTTCAGCAACGAAAGACTACGGATGAATACGTCCTCAACGACCTCATACGGATGAGGCGTCCTTCTGCTTTTATGTTATCAGCAAGGTAAAGAGGAGAGTTAGTTGATAAGGGCTGCATCTGCAGGTAGCAGATAATCATATCCCCCCCCCCCTTTGGGTGGTAGAGTCCAGTCACTTCCGATACCTAAAACGACATATTGAGTGAAGATATCAGAGAACAGCAAATACACTCTCTTTTTATATCTTACCTAAATTTACTATGGTTTTCGCCCCGAGAAATAGTAATTGTCTTGGAAGTCAACGTTATCACATGGCAAAGGTATTATAACGTACTTCAGTCATAAGTATTAGTTTTACACCCAGTCGCGTGAGCCGCCGATATCCTCTGTTGTCATTATGGTAACTAATAAAGACACAGTCTGCTTGTATAGCATTCTGCTCAGGGAGACTGACAAATGTACATTTCACCTAAATCAACGCTTATTTAAAGTTGTAGTGCTTGTGTGAACTGCAATCGTTTGCTGTTTTCGGTTTCTGCATTTTAAATGTGAAAAGACCACGTACGCAATAGGAAAATGCCCGCATGATGACATGCAGTACGCTGACTCCCTTGAACACTCCTATGATTGCCGTTGTCCGGGCGTCTTATTAGCGCTTTGAAATCGCTGTTATCCAATGAAAAATGAGTGAGATCTGTAAAGAAGCTATATAAGGGGTGCAAGATTTGCAACCTATAGCGGACGACGGCCACCTCCGATCACAAAAATGCGAATCCGGTCTTCGATTCTACTGCAGGCTGCATTAATCTTTCTCGGTGACATTTTCGGCAAGTCTGATCCCTTAATTCACTTCTTCACAATATCTCTATCTCGAATCCGGTCCCCATAGACTACACTTTAATGTAATGTATCCCCTACCATTTTGACGCAGGAAAAAATGCGCATGATAATGTCTTTAATTGTTGCTGGATTTTCGTAACGAGAATTCTAGGCACGTTGGCTAATCTAATCCCAGTTTGATTATAGCTTGAAACTTCACCTTCCCTACTTTCAGCACACGCCGAGCAACCATCAACTTATAAACTGTGCAAAAGTGAGCACGCAGAGTGCACGACTATAAACTTCAGACCTGGAGACCAAACCAAAGGCCAGCACTGCCGTTTGGCCTGTTCACATAAGAAAACAGGTCTGTATATTTGCCACATGCTTGTCCCTACTGAATGTCAATGACGATTACGAATGCTCCGCTTATTTTGTGATTCCTGATTGACGCGGAACAGAGCTCAGATATTAACCTCCTCCTTGTCCTTTAGGGCAGTTGAGCGAGAAAATCACCGCCTTCTATTGCGAAACGCCTGAGGAACCCTGCACCCTGTACGACGTTTACGGACGACCAGATTACCCCAGAAATTTCGAAAGGCATGTTCTCTGTGTGCAGGCATGTCAGTTTGTTGCGCAAGGTGAGTCGCCAAATCGCCTTCCAGAAACACTTGCGGCCTCGTCTTCTCAGCAGGCCAAACACCTGCTACATCGTCTAACACTCACCTAACCTCCATCATGGTTCATATGCCATGCAAATAGGCCTTATAATTAACAACGTATTCGTCACTTTTCAGTTGAACAAAGCACCGCGACGTCTTTTAAACTATGCAGGGACGTCCAGCAGAGGTGTAGTCCAATTGAGAAGAAAAATGGTACATTCAATGACTTCAGAAAGTGCATTTTCCAGTGTGACGGTTGGGTAAAGCGTAAGTTCTTAACCTACATTTTGCGCACTTGTACTGCTTTGCGTCACCCTTGTTCATTCAGTAAGCTGCCTTTTTAACTTTAAAGTGGAAAATACCAAGGAGAACACAGCATACCTCTGTCCTGCAAGCGGCGATTGTCAGCAAGGCAATTACTTCACCAAGAAGAATGAAGCAGGCGCATTCGCCAGCTTGAAGGCCTGTTTCGAGACTTGCATGTCAGGTGAGGTTCCATATGCACTGCAGCTTGCCATTAAAGAATGCTTAATACTCGTTTCCGAAACGTAGTGTTTTTGGTAGGAAAAAGGGAATTTGCATACGAACAGACGTTATTCTATTACAGTCTTCACTAAACTTCCATGCAGCATCAACACTCGATCCTTTTACAGCTATGGTTCCCCACAACGAAGAAGTGATTATCATCACTTCACGATGATCGCATGGCATATGTCTGAATTTAGTTAGCATGAATTCGTCCAGACACTTATCCTCTCCGTCGGTAAACGTGCTTCATATTTGTCAGTAATTAATCTACAAACTTAAATATACATTCATAGACCTGAAGATCGCAAACAATTGCAATGACTCACATAGCTGTTAGAGAATTCTGCATAAACAGCGAGAGCCCCTCCTATAACGACAGCTTCTATAGACCGATTAATATTGAAGTGGCCGATATGCCTGCACACCATATGAGAGTTATGCAAATACAAAATTGTGTTTTTATTTCAGAGTAAGCCATGTGGAATGTGTTCGGTGGTGGTGATGGTGGAGGATTTGTATTCTAACTTTTCCACTATTGGTGTAGTTTTTTGCATTCGTTTTATGAATTAAATGCATCGGACACTACGCATGGTTTTCTTGGGGAGATAATGAGCGGATAGAAATTTCGAACTCCTCGCAAAGAAGCTGAAGCCCGCTGACATACGTCCATTAATGCGGCTGGACCAATGTGCCAGTTAACACAAAAGTAGATTATCTCATACTTTCTGGCAGAAACCATACTGTGGCAGATAAAAATGAAAAGTGAGTGAACATGTGCAATTATCAATTCTCGCCATGATGCAGAAAGAGTTTTGGATGCTGACCGGCCTTGAAGATGGATGCGTCAAATGTAAATATACGTCCATCGGATAATAAACAGACCCCAGGGTTTCAAACAATAATGTATAAAGAAGCCGCGAAAATGCAACATGTTCAGGGTGTACAGAGTTCCAAGTGCCAAAAGTAGGGTAGAATGCTGGCGGTGAATTGAACGATATGTCAACATTAACAGCTTTGGGATGATGGTATCTGACCTGGCTATATAGGTAAACTGATCGGAGAAGTTCCTGTTTTCTGTCGTAACGCCACGAGAAAAAAACAAGCGTTTTAGAAAATGAAAAAAGCAGTTATTCAAGGAGGCATCCAAAAAGGCAAATCGGCAAGGATCGGGTGAGGGGCCCCAAACACATACGACCAGCCAAAGGTGCCTGCTCTACGGGAAAGATGGTAGGGTGGGACCTATGCATGCATAGAGGAATGACAGAATAAGCATAGATAATTGGTGAATACGTTTTTCGGGTGGGAAGGTTTTATTATGTTGACATATAGCAACCGAAATAAAGCAGGACAATTAAAAAAAACAAACGTTAAATGTCTACAACGATCGCTTATCAACTCTCTGACCGTCTACGACAGACGACCCATATTTGGACGATGAAGCACCAAACCGGAATAGTCGTGTCCGACTAAAACCCACTTAAAAATTATAGTAGGTATTCCTTGTATGCCACAAATTGCTTGGGGTCCTTCTTGCCATCCTTACCGGCAAAATCTGTGCATGCGAATGATTTGTGGTTTGCGACAAACGATAGACGAACTGTCGTGACAGAGGATGCAGATTAGGTCAAAATCAGAGACGATATCTTGCACGTTATTTCGTTGATAGAGATAATAAACTTGTGCCGCATTTACTACACTTTCTACTCTGTCCCTATCTGAATCTGATGTCAAGAGAGAGTCAAGAGGACCACAGGCAGGAGAGGATGCATGTTGTTCGCTCGACGTAAATCCGCACCCAATCGTACCGCTACACCATCAAGTCCACAAAATAAACTGGCCGGAATTTGATACAACAAATTCATAGCAAACTACTGCGTACATTTATTGGAGCTGATTTTCAGAACCTTGATGCTTTTGTGGCACACAAGGATATGATGGTGAAAATATGACTGAACCAACATTTTCAGTATGCTAAGTAGACGGGTATCGCACATCGATTCTCTTACATACCTGAACATAATCCTATGAAGGCAATGACGCACGGTTATCAGGAAGCATTGCATACCAACATCTTTTCAGCAATCTTGCCCGGCGAGACATATAGCCATTTAAGGGCCGCGTTCAGCTCAGTGGAACACAACTAGCACTGGGTAGCCTAGCTTTCATGATCAATGGTCAATATTGCGGGGTTGTCGACTGATCCTGCTGCGTCCGCTTATGTTTATGTCCAGACAAGCGACTGTGAATTGGAAAATCAACTATATAGGTCAGTTTTTAAAAGGAGGATAGGCGCAATATGTGTGACAACGAACAGTTAACTCCATCAATGTGCTCAACGACACTATGCAGTGCGACTATCGCTGCCCTCTCCAACTTACCATTGCTGCAAAATCGACTGTTTAGCGCCGAAGCTACAGGTACCGTCAATTTATATAAGAGTAGGATGCAGATGGCTCAATAGACATGAACAAACAAAGGCCTGGTGTCCACATTGGGAGAACATAAGTCGTCTGTTTGCTGCGATGGCCGACGTCGGTGGTCGACATCACAGAACAATGAAGTTTTATGATTAAGAAGACGAGTTGGTAAGCATACGTTGCTTTCAATAGATTCTCTTCATGTCAGTACAATTATATGGGAACAGGGTACAGTCAAACATGCCAGTGATTGAAAAATCGGTAAAATTCAGTTCTGGCGAGGCGAGAGCGAAAGGGTGCAGAAAGATGCATGTGGTTAGTCAACCTTTGACCAGGGTAAGCGCAGTGCCTGTACTAGGTTCTTCTGAGCGCATAGAATTAATTTTTGGAAACTGATTGCGACCGCTTCTGCTTCTGCTAACAGGCGCTGACCCAGTAGCTTAGGATAGCTCGAGCGGACCGTATTACCCACACAAAAAGCTTCGTTGGGGTCCATACGATATCCTGAATCAACTGCATGCGCGAGGATGACGCTGTTTATGCTCATAGTTTCGCCTTCGCTGGCCATGACGGGAGGTATCCTGGTATTCTTTTGGATAAATGCCGACTCGTACGACCAATATAACCTCCTCCACAGGAGCACGTGAATGAATAAACAGCATAAACAGCGTCATCCTCGCGCATGCAGTTGATTCAGGACATCGTATGGACCCCAACGAAGCTTTTTGTGTGAGTAATAAGGTCCCCTCGAGCTATCCTGGGCTACTGGGTCAGCGCCTGTTAGCAACAGCAGAAGCGCTCGCAATCAGGTTCCAAAAATTAATTCTATGCGCTCAGAAGAACCTAGTACAGGCACCGCGCTTACCCTGATCAAAGGTTGACTAATCACATGCATCTTTTCGCACCCTTTCGCTCTCGCCTCGCCAGAACTGAATTTTACCGATTTTTCAATCATTGGCATGCTTGACTGTACCCCGTTCCCATATAATTGTACTGACATAAAGGAAATCTATCGAAGCAACTTATGCTTGCCAACTCGTCTTTTGAATTCTGCCATAGCAATTTTATGATTGACTTAAAGTATAATACTAACGGTGAGTGTACTAATGTATTTCTCAGCGACCAGCGTATCCAATTAGGGTAGGAGCATGACAGAGGTAGCGAATTGATTCCGTTTTCCTAAACAATGTTCTTTAACCACGACCTGGCCTTATTTCAATATTAATTGAAAAGTAGACTAATTGAACTATGCGAATAAGACTACGGACCTGAGCAAGAAGGCGTTGTCAACTGAAGAAATTTAATAGCTGACCTCCGTGTAAAGGTGGGAGGTTTTTTGGCTGGAATGGGGACATCATGAATAGAGGCATTATAGCGAACTTAATCCGTCAAATCTGTCTCCATGATGCCTATCTTACCACGTGTAATTAGAATCAACATTTCCAATACAATATGTGTTCACAGTCACTGGTAGCATGTACCAAACTGTTGTAAATATAACTGCCATTTTTCCATGCTGCAGTTGCCCATAAGGCATTCACTGCTGGATTGCTGAGACGATAGGATGTGTCGGGTGTTTAGGCTGTGCTGTTATCCAAGGAACTGATATTAAGCAAAGTGTCCATTTATATGACATGCCGAGTAAAAAACCTATTCTGTTTTTTCAAATTATACGAATGCATCACTGAAGCAACGTGATTGAAAACAGTCGAAATTAAGCCATTTGCGGCTGCAGGATGGCTAGATACATACAAATTTGTAATATCAATCAATCCTGAAAGTATGTCCATTAAAAAAGCCGTTAAAGGATTTCTTTAACAGCTGCACTTTGCTGACGAAGGTCTGTACGCTTTACATGGTGAGGTTAAAAAATATGAAATTTTTCAGTCGCTCATATTACATCGAAAATGTAGACTGATATTTGTCTATCGTAAACGCAGAAAATTATTTTTCTTTATATTTGGGTTATTTTCGTTGTCCCATCTCAGCTTTAGGCTCCATGCGGCCGGAATTATTCTGAAACGTTAAATATGTTGCTGGCTCCATCAATAACATACATCTATGCGTAAAGCAGACCCCACGAAATGCAACATTTTATGTTTAACAGTAAAAGTATCTACTCACTGATAGTGATTTTGGTGCCGAATGTTATGATTATCAAAATGACAAAACCGTTTCGGCCCATATACACGACAGATTGCCTGCGTACGTTCTTACGGCATTTGAGGATACGAAATGGCACAGATTTGATAATCATAATTATTAAATAGAAAAAAATGATTCTCCTTGCTATTATTGGGTATAACGTCAATTTTCAAGTGCGACAAGCTCTGTTCAGTAGAACTCTCAACGACACATTAAGGTCACACCAATGGGAAAAACGCGTAGATGTGCAACGAAAGTCGTGGAGGGGTTTTAGCATAGGAAATGCCTCAAATATTTCACAACTTTATATTAACCTAATTTTATTTCAATTTTGCTTGATAATATTGCGTGGGTACATTTTTTTAAAAGAAAAGCACATTTAATTGAAAGGAAATAGACGCGCATGCAAAATGCGCTATATTTGCAACGTCTAAATATCCCCATAATAGTACCTGTCATTAA